CAAGGGGGGGGTGTCTCTCCTTGGGGGGGACGTCCCACCCAGGGGAGTTCTTGCCAAAGCCCGGGCAAAAATTAATACTCCTTCTCCCCCCCTGGCCCCGCAGATCGCCCCAGCAGAAGGTCCCGACGTCAGCGAGCGGATGTCATCACGGGGCCACCTGAGGCCACCTGAGGCTCAGTTCAAGGTGCGCTGGGCTGGGGGTGGGGGCAGGAGGGGGACACACACACACTAAGGGACAAGTGGAGAGCATCCCTTTGGTGGCCGCAGCGCTGCCAGCCTGGGTTTGCCTCCCTGAGTAACAGGGGAGCTCTTTACTTGGTGGTACCATGGTCTTGATGCTGCTGCCCATCAGCACGTCATCACCATCGGGGACTGGGGGGGGTGATGGGGACACAGCGGGTGCTGCCATCATGGCTGCCCCCCTTCTCCCCCACCCCGGGTTTTACTTCCCTTCCATCTCCTCCTCCCCAGGCCCAGGGGCGAATATTTGGGAAGCTGAAAGAGGAAAACTTCTTTAACCCGAAAGAAGAAGTGAAGGAAAAAGAAAAAAAAAACCCCACCACGAAATAAAAAACAACTCAAAGTTTTTTTTTTTTTGGAGAGAAGGAAAACCATCCCACGTGTCCCGGAGCTCTTCCGTAGTCTCCTTCTGCTAGCTGAGAGCCAGTGGCCATTCCTTCGGAGAAAGCTTGAGAAATGGTTAAAAAGAAAAAAAAAAAACGGGGAAAAAAAAAAAAACCCAACCCCGAAATAAAAAACAACCAAAGATTTTTTTTTTTTAAAAAAAAAAGGTAAAAAGGAAAAAACCAAACCAACCAGCACCCGAGGGCGGGCGAGAGGAGGGCCGGGAGCCGCCGGCCGGGGTGAGGTGCCACGGGCTGCGACACCACAGTTTTTCCTCTACTGCAAAGTGTTGTGTGAAAACCAACCAACCACCCAACGCCAACAACCACAACCAACAACAACAACAAAAAAAAGAGAAATATATCCAGCTAACAAGAACCTGAGCTTGGTATCCGTTGTTTTCTTTCCAGTGCCTCGCGTTGGCCATGGCCAAGCTGAGCATGGGAGGGGGTTGCCCCACGGCCACTCCATGGCCAGAGCGATGCTGTTGGGGGGAGAAGGGGCAGATGGGGAGGGGGATGTGTGTGTATAGGGGGTTTTTTTTGGGGGGAGGGATGGTTTTTGCCAGGGAGTTGCCATCACCAGCCCTGATGGTGGGTGGAAGGACAACCCCCCAACGGGGAAAGGACCAAGATGGGGCTTGGGTTTCCCCTTGTGGGACAGGTGGTGGGGTAGGCAACACGTGGCGGGGGGAGCTGATGGACGGCACCATGATGGAGTCCTCCCCCTTCCGGCATGGTCCCCAGAGCTGTGCTGCTTCCTTCCCACCCATCGGGCAGCAGGGACACAGTGCCTCCAGAGAGGTGGCCCCTGGGGAGGGCAGGCTCGGGTGCCAGTGTGTGACACCTCAGAGGATGTCACCTGTCACGCCCATGTGTTTTGGGACTCAGAATCATGGAATGGTTAAAGTTGGAAGG